TTCTTTTTTTATCCAAAAATTGCGATTTTAAAATTTTTATTTTTCTTAGGAATTTTTTTAAATTTTTCTGTTATTTTTCTTTTTTTTTAAATATTTTTACTTAAACCAGCGCTTATAATTTTTTGATTTTTTTTCTTTCTTTTCTCAATGTATTTCCCCCGTTGATTCCAGTGTATACTATATAATATTTATTTTTATATGTTGTGTTTAGTAGTTTTTTATTTTGTTTTTATTTTTTCTTTTTGTTGACTTGTCGTGGTGCTCAATAGCAAAAATATGATCAAAGTACCAAAGTGATATGAATAGTTACAAATCAAACTAATGTAATTATAAAAAAAAATAACAATGTAATCACAATGGAAACATTTGGAAGCAAAAAGAAACATTTTTATTTACATTTTTACAATATGAGTGAAACAGGCTCTGATTGTATTATTAATTTACAAGCTTGTTGCATTACAAAAAAAAAATAAATTCAAATATATGTATGTCGTAAATTAAAAAAGACAAATTATAGTAAAGAAAACATAAAATCACTTCTAATTTTTCGAAAAGAAATTAAAATTTAAATAATATTAAATCACACTTACCTTTCACATTCAAATCTTTAAAAAAACCTTGTTTTCCTTTTTAACACTGGTTAAAAGAATCACTAATATTGATTATGTACTTATGTTGATTACATTAAAAGTAACGAAATATATCTTATCTTTTTCATTGAAATGTAATCAAAATCTGTGTGGAAAATATATTTCTTTCAACGCGGTAATATTTAATATTGATATCATATGTGTGTGTACATGGAACACACAAACACAAATAAACGCAAATGGCACTACACACCTTTTTAAAAATTTAGCAAGTTTTGCTTTGGTTTTTTTATTTATTTTTTTTTTTTGTTTCTACATTACCATTTTTTTTTATTGGATTAATTTTCATAGTTCTCCCATTTAAATATTTTAATTTCATTCACAATTCCCAAAATAATCAAAATTATACACGATTTTTAATTACCAGTTTATTGTTTTTTTAATAATTATTTTCATATTTCTTGTGTACAAAATATATAAAATTTTTATATTCCTTCATGTTTTATACGAAATTAAAGAAAATAATGTACACACTAAGAAAAAGTGGAAAATAACATGAATGAAGCTTCTTTATTTCTCTACCTGAATAAAAATCTAGTTTGACCGACGGAAGCAGTTGTTTTACTATATAAAGTGAAAAATATGTGAACTACGACATTTTACATTTTACAATTACTAACATTCTATGCGAATAAATTTTTTTTCCTGTGAAATAAATACGTATTATTATTTGTTTTATCATATTTATTTATTGAATGAAATTATTTAATGTCTGTCTCAAATTATATTTAACAAAAAATTTCAATTCCATTTTCCAAATTTTTTTGTTGAATATAAAATATATTCAGTTTAATTTTTTATTTAATTTAATAATATTTTTTAATACTATATAAATTATAATACAATAATTATAAATTTGTTTATAATTTCAGTAAGCAATATAATTTGAAAATTAACATAAATTAAATACTCTACTCTACCACATTATTTGCGTTCCGATTTATGTACGGAAGCACTTATTTGTTTTTTTTTTAATTAATTGGCAGCACTGAATTAATAAACTAAAATGGCAATCCCTCTCATACATGAAAAATTTGACAATATTATTTAGCTTGACAAACAAGATTGAACAGGATTGTCAAAAAATTATTTTTTTTATTCAAAAATTTTTTAATTGGAAAATATTTCACATATTTGCTGTTGTTTATTGGCTGTAATATTTTCTTTGTTTTTTCTTTTTCCTGTTTTTTGGATAAAATCGAGTAAAATAAATAAATGTTGCTTTAATTTTTATGTTAAACTTTGTAAAAAATGTTTACAAAAAAATGAAAATTCAGAAAATTAAATTTTCTACTTGAAGCAATACAAAAAAAAGAAGTAAAGAAAATTGTAGGTATCAATTTTTAAGAAATAACAAAAGCATAAAATTTTAAAAATTTTGAAATCTTATATATAATTTCGAAAATCAGTTTTTTTGTTTTTTAAATATAAGAATATGTAGGTATTGTTAATTTTTTTCAAATATGAATTACATACAAAAAATAATAGAGCACACTACTTAGGAATAAAAAAGAAAAGAAGACATATCATGTCATGAGTTTCTGAAAAAAAGTGGACATTACTAGAAATGTCAAGATGAAAAAGGATTTTTGTTTTTGAATTTTTATAAAATCTAAAAGGAAGAATTAAAATTCAAATATATATATTACAAAATATTTAAAAAATTAATAAATTAAATTTATTTCAAAAAAAGAAGAAAAAAAGAACAAAATTAGCGAGAAAATAAAAGTATTTTTACCTACATACCTACATTACATCAAAAAAAAAAAAAAACAAACCAAAATTAATTGCCGGAGAAAGAATAGAAGGAACAGGAGAGGCAGAAGCAAAAAAAACTAGTCCAAAAAGGTTTTGTAAGTAGCGAAAAATATAAACTATTTTATCGTCCAATTTTTCCATAAAATTTCTAAAAGCTTATTCTAATTTAATAAGTTTTTTGTGCAAAATTTCTAATAAGAATTTTTAAAATCATAAAGTTTTCTATCTAATATTGATGACGAATCTTCCCTTTTCCAATATACATATCTACATACATAACTTATTGTATAGATAGATATGTAGCGTATGTACTGTACGTACACAGTCGCAATATTTATAGATATGATATTGATATTTAAAATTATTTTAAAAGAAAATACTTAAATTATTCATATTTTTCTTATAAACAATAATATACGTACGTACATATATATAGAGAATGATTAATATCTTTAAAAATCCGTCATAATATGATTAACAAATTTATTTATCACACATAGTAAAAATTTGGGAGGTGAAGAATATGTGAGGATCTTACCATGTTCGTTAAAAAATAAAAAATTTATAATATTATATGGTAGGTATAGGTGTATGTACTTACATAGAAAACAAGAAAAAAGATATTGATTGAGTTTTACATCAGAATAAGAATTGTATATCATAACATTATGTATGGTATTTTAAATCCACCACCAACACTCATTTTAGTAAAATGGGGTCTAAATTTGTACATATATTTTTTTTTATATTTGAGCAATAGAAAATCCTAGAAAAAAACAAATTATTATGTATGCCTGCATACATATATACATGTACTTTCATATTATGTATTGAAATAAAGTGTACTATATTAAAATAAAGTGTATCTATGATAACCTATATTTGAATATTTTGAGCCAGAAATCAATTCGAAATAATTTTAACCGTTTACACAGTCACTTATTTTCATGAAACAATTTACTCACACTAGGGTTCAATGTGTAATATCTTAGAATAATTAAAAAAAAATTTTTTGCTAATTTAAGTTTTTTTTTATTATTTTAATAATCTTTGTTTAATTTAGTTTAAAAAATTTTGCATTTGAAAAACTTAAATCATATACTTTTTTGCTTAAATCTAGGTTTCTTTAAAAAAATTAAGTCTAGCCTGCAATACCAACCCTATTTCTTTTTGAAAGCAATTATTTAATTCATAATTTATCGAAACCAATAGGTGCTCTATAATGTAAATTTCAAATGGTCGGAAAGCACAGTTTGCACGTGAAGGAAGTTTTCTTAATGTTTTTCGTTGGACAAAAAATTTTTATTTTTCTTTATAAGATGCTCGAATTATTTACAATAACTTTAAAAGAGAAACCAATAAATTCTGTTGGAGTCTACCAGACCCCATTGTGAATATCCCGGGTTAAAATGAAGAAAATTTTAAATAAAAAATATTTTGTTAAAATTTCTAAATAATGGACTTGTTTTTTTTAATAAATTGAAAATTGTTTTCAACACAAATATAACATCGTTTTGATTTTTGAAAATATTTGTCCAAATAGCACAATTGCTAGGAATTGCAATTCCGAAATTAACGTTTAAGTTTGTAATTGTTTTCTCGATCTGACAAATTACCACTGAATTGCACTTCCATTTACCACTGAGTTTTCTATCGAATTGTTGAATTAAGTTGCGTTATAGTTTTGATATTTCGTAGATATATAAATTCTAATTATTTTTTTTTTCTTGTTTTACTTTCAGGCCAGTTTTCATATATGCACCCTAGATAACAAGAAAACAATTTTAAAATTCAATAATTCTATAAGCAGGATTAAAAGCAAAATTTGTAAATTTTTCGCGAATCTTTGAGGATTTCGTAACATATGATATGAAATATTAAATATCAAATATAAAGCGAGAGAAAAGGAACAGGTTTAAATCTTCAAGAAACAAGAAAACATAAAGAAAGGATTAAATTTAAAAAAAGGAGGAAGGAAAAAACAACAAATTAACAACAACCCAATAATTTTCTTTTATTCAATACCATATAAAAATATGCACATATGTATATGTTCAAAATTATGCTAGAATTTACCAAAAATATTAAGAAAATAATTAAAAAACAAGGGTGGATAAATACAAATAGCTAATAAAGAGCAAAAATAAAGCATTAATAAATAATAATAAAAAACAAAGGCAATTAAAAGTTAATTTTTTTTCGTTCTTTTTTTGGGTTTTTTTTTGTTTCGATTCAATTGTTCGTTTATTTAGTCTTTTTTTTTAATTATGAGTTCATTATTTTATTTTTTATGCGGATTTGCGATATTTTTCTTAATATTTTGGTCTGGTAAATGGGTTGTTCACATTTTAGCTATAAGTTATGGGTAAGCTTCTCATTGAATATTTTTATTTTAAATTTAATTTTTTCCATTTTGATTAAATTTATAAAGAAAATATAAACTACATAGAAAAGTTAGTAATTTACCGCGAGATACACCGTTACCCTCAGTATCGATATTAAAACCCTTAATGGGAGTTGATCCAAATCTCTCACATAATTTGGAAACATTTTTTACCATGAATTATCCAATTGTAAGTAAAAAATTTTAAATTTTATTAATTAGGGTCTTGTAATAAATTAATGTAATATATTTAAATACTTTTTTTAAATTTCAGTATGAATTATTATTTTGTGTTGAAGATAAAAATGATCCAGCTGTTGAAATTGTTCAACAATTAAGAGAAAAATATCCATATATCGAATCATCATTATTTTTAGGTGGTTCAAATGTTGGTGTCAACCCAAAAATAAATAATATGCATCCAGGCTATCAAGCTGCCAAATATGAATTAATTATGATATCAGATAGCGGAATTAAAAGTAAGTTGGTAAAATATTATATTTGCCTAAGCAACTACCCATAATTGGACAGCAATTTCTTTTTGGAACTGTAATTTATCAAGATTTCGTTTTTTTTGATTTTTTCAGTGAAAGAAGATACATTATTAGATATGGTTGAAAATATGACTGAAAAAGTAGGTTTAGTTCATCAAATGCCTTTTACGTGTGATCGTGACGGTTTTGCTGCTACATTTGAAAAAGTAATCAATTACACAAAATTTTTAAAAACCATATACATATTAATTTTTTTTTGTTCTTCGTTTACCGACATGTTCTTTTTCCCAGATTTTTTTCGGAACCATACAATCTCGAATATATTTGTGTGCTGATTTATTAGGTATAAATTGCCATACTGGTATGTCATGTTTAATGAGGAAACCAGTTATAGATAAATTAGGTGGTTTATCAAAATTTGGTTGCTATTTAGCTGAAGATTTTTTTCTTGCAAAATCATTAACAGAAAGTGGTTGGAAAATGAGAATAAGTAGTCAACCAGCATGGCAAAATTCTGGTATTTGTGATTTACAAAATTTTCAAGCACGTTTATGTAGATGGGCGAAGTTACGTGTAGCAATGATGCCAACAACAATACTATTAGAACCATTATCAGAATGTCTGGTAGTTGGAGCATTTGCATCATGGTCTGTCGGCCTATTATTTTGTTGGGATCCACTTGTGTTTTATTTAATTCATATTTTAATGTGGTTTCTTTCTGATTGGATATTATTATCAATAGTTCAGGTATGAAAACTTATTATTTTGTATAATAATTTATTACAATGAAAACAAAATTCTATTTTAGAACGGAACATTATCTTTTAATAAATTTGAATTTGTTGTTGGTTGGATATTTCGGGAAATAAGCGGCCCATATTTATTTTTTAATGCACTATATGATCCAGCAATAAGATGGAGAACACGTTTATATAAACTTCAATGGGGTGGAATCGCATATGAATTACAAGAAAATAAAACTAATGAAACAACATCGTCACCAAATAATAAGATATCTTTTGATAACGATTTGAGCCGAACAAATCAGAAAAATCTGGCAACAAATGATCCTGATAATTATAAAAAATCGTTCAACAATTCCTATAATCGTCAACAACAACAACAGCAACAACAACATCAGCAACTTCAACTGCTACAACAAGAGGGAGAACATGAAAAGCAACCGTTTTTAATCAACCAACTAGAAAAACAACAACAACAAAATAATTGTGGAGAGCAACAAATACACCTTGAAACAAACGAAATAATTGAAAAACAATCTAATATTATATCATCAACTCCAGTAAAACAATTACAACAACACCAGCAACAACAACAGCAATATCTATTACATGAATATCAGCAAATCAAAACACAGCAGCAACAGTATTCACATAATAATAAACGATCACAGGACTATCAACATCAAATAAATCAAATCACAGCTAATTTAAAAAATGATTTGGCATTTAGTTTTTGTAAAATAAAAAATAATAACAATATTTATAAGGATCCTTTTTACAGAGAAGGAATTATAACTAATAGTTTAATAAAGCCAACCATTAATGATAGTAGCAACAGCATTAATAATTGTATTAATAATGTTAACTGTAACAATTGCAAATATGATAGTAATTTTAAAAATAATAATATCATAAATACTTATGATAATAAAATTGAAAATAGTTTTCGTTTAAACAATAACGAAAATTATAATATAATAATTAACAATAGTTCTTATAATAATAATAATAATAGTAATAATAATAATAACAAAAATTCAAATATTAATATTAATAATGGTAATATGACAAATGATAGAACTATCAATAATTTTCATTGTTTAAAAAATTTTAACAGTATTGATGGTAAAATCTTTATAAGTAATAGCTATAAAATTGAGAAAAGTGATAATAATATAATTGAAAATAGTCATAATACAAAAAGTGATAGTAATAGCAATAATAGTAAAAATAAAAATAATAGTAATAATGTTGATGTCAATATTAATAACGATAGTATTATTAATAATAACAATAATGATAATAATAATATTGTTAATAATCATAATAATCATAATGTAATTACTAATAAATTAAATGAAAAAAAATATACTAGTAGCATTAAAAATGATAATGATAAGTTTAACAGTAGTAATGATACAAATAATAGAGGTAGTGAAAGCTTAAATTATTTATAAAAATTAAAAATAAACAAATTTTTTTATTATATAATTGAACATTTAAGCCAATTTTCGTATAGTTAAATTTCTGTATTCTAGTATCCGTTGCATCTCGTTATTGTAGAAATCAAGACATTCTTAAATGTTTAAATCACAGAATTATTTTGTGGTAAAAAAATATAGTATCTTAGTATATAGAGAATACGAAATAAAAGTAAATAATCGATAATGAAAAGAAAAAATACACTAGAAAACAGGTTATGCAATAATTACACTTCATATTTTTATAAAAAAAAAAATAATTTAACTAATACACGGCGTTTATTGTTTCATTGATTTAATTGTTTTGATTATTTGAATTAAAAATGATTTTTTTGTTAAAAAATTAAGTATGTATATCAGAAGTGTAATTTTTTTTTAATCCAATTTAAAAAGGTTTAAAGAAACTTTTAACATTTAAAGAAAATTGCTTTATGTTTTGAAAAGAGTAATATTTTGTAATATTATTAAAAGATTATTTCATTTAAAATAAATAATCATAGCTCTAGCTCTTACAACTTTTTAATGTATCAATGTACACTAAGTATAATATATAATATACACACAATATAAACTTAATCTACCCAACTTCATATTAATCTTGTGAATTTAGTCACATCGGTTTAAGAATTCAGATGCTGTACGCAGACGTTTTTTGCTTCTTTTTCATATAAAATTTTTTTTTTTTTGTCTTTTGTTGTTTTTTCTTTTGCAAAATGAAATGTTATATTTTGAAATACTAAATACTATAAAAATTATTAAAAAAAAAATTTTAATTTTTAAACAATATAGCAGATTTCGTGCGCTCTTGATTTGCTATTAAAAAATACATAGATGTATGTATTTTTTAATAGGAAATCTTCAACGGATTCTAGAATACATCTTTAGAAATATATCAAATTCACAAAACAAAAAGAAAATTTACTCCCAAACAATTTTTTAAAGCTCAAAAATAAAAATTTTTTTTAGGTATATATGAAATAAAAAAATAAATCGTTTGTAATTAATATTTTAAAATAATTTCCCAGTTAAAAGAAAGGATTCCTAATTTTTTCATTTAAATTTTTTTTTATTATATTTCGTTAGAAAATTCATATTCTTAATAGATAATTAAGATAATTTTGATTTAATTGAAATATCGACAAATTTTATTTTACTTTATTTAGAATGATTACTAATGCTCAATTAGAAACGCTGATTATGAAAATTTTTTTTTTTTTTGTATGGGCGATTTTTTATATCGTCAAAACAATATCAATTTTTTTTATTATCTAAAAATTTTTTTTTAAATATTACTCAAAGCTTACTATTATGCTTAAATTTTTTTTTTTAAATTAGTTATTAAAATATAATCTTAAATTTAACTTTAATTCACGTTGAATAATTTACAGTGCAGGGTTTGTTTTAATTTTTAATTGAATTGAAAAAAATTTTTTTCACTTAGTTTACTTATTCTTTTCCAAAATTCGGAATATATGGCAGAATCACGCTATATGAAATGTCTTGAGGCAGGGGACCAAATCCATGTAAAGTAAATTTTGTAAAATATTTTTACAAATGAATTTATTTATTTTCCACGTTATTTTAATTAATTTGATGAAACTTTATAAAATTTAAATAGTTTTTTTTTTTTTTTTTAATTTTGGTTCAGTTTTACAGTTTTAATTTTTGTTTTAATTTTTTACCAAATAAATGTAATAAATGAAATAAATGTAATACAAAATAAAATTAATTCAAAGAGATTATAAACATAATATGTATAGAAACTTACCTTCAGCACTAGAAGTGCTCGCAAAAAACATTTCTTCTTTCAATTCTTTCGTCAATAATAAAAAAGCTATTAGCTTTCAATTAGAATATAATTTATAAAAAAAAAAAAATGGCAAAATATTGATAATATATAACAGTTTTTTATATTAAAACACTGAATGAATAGATTTCTTCTTATTGTTTCTTATGTTATTTTATTATAACTTTATAAATTATATTGCCATACAAAACAGAAAAATGTATAAAGATTATATTTTAATTTTATATAAGCCATTGTATAATAGAATGTGTTAAATTAACTAATATTGTATCGAAAAACAAAATTGAAATTCTACAAATTTTTGTACATTACACTTAATTTTTATTATATTTTTCACTAAGGGAAATAATATTTATCTATTCTTTTCTGAAATTGGTACTACGTGCAACTTTAAATTTTATTTAAAATAAAAAACAATAGAATTGCTTTTACATTTTGTTGTCTATGAATATTTCACTTAGTAAAATTTTTAAAATTTATAAAATTTTCATTGTCCATCAAAAAATACCTTATATTTTATATTTCATCAATACTTATTTTATTTAGTTTTAAATGAGAAACAAAAAAATAAAACCAAAATTACTATAAAACTGATGAAGAAATTAATATTGAACTTTTGTTCGATATAAATATCTTAAAATGCTTAACTTTAGTTTTTTATATTAACTCTTTTTCTTAATAATCAATTTATTTCAGTTTTTTTTGTACATTTAAATATGTGTATGAATTAGGTTTTCTTTATATAGCTTGATATTTAATTTTAATTGAAATTGAAATTAATTTTTATATTGTTGTAAAAAAGAGAATATTAAATATAAAATAAATAATTTAAAATAAAATAAAAGAAAAGCCTATGCATACCAAAATTTTAATTAATCATTTTTATGCGCAAAATGGCTGTGTACTTCATGATATATAAATCATTTAATGAAATAAAAGTAATTATTTTTTTCGTTTTTTAATATTATTTTTTTTTGTTATAAAATTATTATTATTATTTTGTGTTATTTTCTTAATTTGTAAATTAAAATAAGCATAATTAAATGATCCCGTTATAATCACTAGTTATTGATACTGTAACAATTAAAATTCATAAAATTGGATATCATATTCTAAAAATTGTTTCCCGTCATTAAATAAAAAAAGGGTTCTCTTCATTAATGATCAGTAGTAAAAGGGGTTCTCTTCATTATTGATCAGTATTTTAAGATTTTAAGTACTTTTGCAAAATCACAACCAATAATCTATAATTTTATAATTTAGACAGATGTATAATAGAAATTTTCGAAATTTCCGGTTCCGGTTGTATAACAGAAATCGTATAACCCGCATAAAAGAAACTTCTTTTTGAAATTCATTTCGTTTCTTATAAGCGAAAGTTTTTTTTAACAGGTTCTCTTTTAAGGGAAACTTTTTTTCTTACAAGGCGGTTTCCTGAAAAAAAAAATTAACACGCAAATTTTTGTTTTTATCATTTAAAGATATACTATTAATTTAAACTGTTTATGAATTTTATTTCATTTTATTTTAATTCCGTTTTTATTCTATGTTGTGTTAACATTTTGGTCATTTACAATTGCCGCTTTTCTTGTAAAAAGTAAAAAGGTAAGAGGGTTTCTTGTAAAAAGTAAAAAGGTATTGAAATTTATGTAAAATGACAAGCGCATGAAAAAGTGTTTACTTAAAACGGTGGTTTGTTTTATGACGGGTTCTTAAAAGCTGGTTATACTGTATATTAATTCTCCAAACTTATACAACAAAATTTGATGATATTTGATCAACTTTCATGAATGTCTGATTCACAAAAGGTCTGAAAATAAATATTGATAAGAATTTTAATTATCAAAAGAATGTGTGCATGGAATACATGTTTAGTATAACTGTACATTTTTATTATTCATTTCCGCTTATATTTTGTACATATGCCGAAATTAAGATTGTTAGATAGAACCCTAATATATCAAACTGACTAATTGTTAATATAAAAATCGTATTTATTATTATTAAAACAAACATTTAGATAATGTTTTGAATTTTTATTGTATTTATGTAAGAATTGTGTATTTTAATTTAAAAGTGAAAAGTTTTTCTTTAAATCCAGCTTGAACAGAATAATTTTTTATTTGAATTGTTTTCGTTTCTGAAAACTAGCTAAAAATATTAAAGATGCATTTTTGAAAAGTGTTATTACTCATTACATTTCAAATCCTTTGGGCTATTTAAATTTTGAATTGAACCGATTTTTAATATACTTAACTAAAAGTACTTAATATACTTCAAAGTAAGTTACTGTATTGTTGTATTAAAACACAATATAGCAATTGCAATTCATAAGCTTGAATTTGTATTAATAACCAACCGTATTTACTACAACTTCGAACTCAACTGGCTTATTATGTAAAATAACGAACCTCGCAAATTTGTGTAAGTTGATTTGCGATTCGGAATTGGTTTGAGAGTATTGGTAAATTCTTAAACGTCAAATTTTACAAAATCTGAGTTATCTGAGTTTACGAATACTTTACTGCGTTTTTACTTCCATTCAAAGTTTAAATTCTTAAACGTTTAAAAAAGTCAATTAAGCGTCAAAATTGTAGATTTTTTGAAATGCAGTAAATAAATTTGATGTATTGAGTGACTATCATTACGTTAAAAGTAATATAAAAAATATTTTTATAGTTAATTTTTAATATGTAAGTATAAAATTATTTTAAATCTAAAAAAAAATTTTTTTTTGTTTTGACGTTTACGGATGATCAAAATTCAAAGTCAATTACGGGTAAAAAGTTTACTAGATTTCTGTCCGTAAAAGTTTTAGTTTCAGACAGTTTGCAGACTAAAATCAAAATTTTGACGTTAAAGAATTTGCGGTATGTAACAAAATGGCATCGCAGAAAAACTTAAACTGGTTTCATTTTCTAAAATTTTTTACTCATATTATTATTATTGTTAATTTTTTAAAAAATGATGGATTGCAAAAGATTTTTAGCAGGGGTTTTAAGATTTAAATATTGCTTTTGCTCAGCAAAACATTTTACTTCTTATAACCGAAGTTCGTAAGACAATAGAAAAAATCTGATGTGATCAGCACATAACCGACCGCAATGTATATTGTCTAGATTAGCAAAAGTATTCCAGAAGATTATAAAAATGCGTTTTAAACACTTCTTTAAAATTTACATACCTAGAAAAATGTGAATTAAGCTCTTAGTAGATTTATTGTTTTAACATCTCGAATTTAAATATTAAATTTCAATGAAATCGTTAATTATTTCGCCTTATATAGGCAAAAATGTATATTTGGCTCGTAGCAAACGTCCAGTTGCTGACACCTGATTTTTTCCTAAAGTTAGGTGGTTTCTTGTACGGTCGAATGAAGGTTATATATGAAATTTAAACAGATCCGTTCAATATTTTCTTCAAAATGATCAAATATGTAAATAAAACAGGCCCGTTAAAAAGTCCAGTTTCTGAGGCCTGAAATATCCCAAAAGTTAATCAATCCGTGCCATGGCCAACTAAACTCACATATACAATTTCATCAAAATCGGTTCAGTTAAGATACTTGAGATTCACGCGCGCACACACAAATTGGTGCCATCACATAATCTGTATACACAATACGGTTGATAAAACAGATAAGCCACATAAAAACAAAACTGGAAAGAAGCAATGTCGAGAAAAGAGAAGCGAAACAAATTTGGAAAAATGCATCAATGTTACCATTATCTTAAACCGGGATGGTTTGGTATTTTATTTTGACCTGTAATTATAATTATTAATTACAAAAATTTAAATAAATACACTTTTTATTATTATTATTATAAAAATATTAATTTAATTAATTACAAAAATTTAAAAAAATACAGAATTTGAAATGCAAGTTTTTTTTTAAATTTAATAAAGCTAAATAAATATAACTTTACTTTTATTTTTTCGAAAACTTAGACTTCCGTAATGAGTTTCGTAAACAATGCAAGTAAATGAAATTAAACCAATAAAAAATTAATGAAATCGGTAAAAGTTGTCAAGTTCTGGTATTCTTCGTGATAAAGAGAAATAGGCCGGCATTCTTCCGTTATATATTTTGCTGATGTAATCAGAGTTCCATTTTACATATCCTCGGCTGAGTCTAGATTTTTCGGAGAAATTTAATTTTTTTGAAGTTGATCATTTTTGTCATTGCTCTATATGAGCTTGATAATACTTACTGACTTCTATGAAAATGGACCACATAAGAAATGAAATTTAATTTCAGTAAAATTGTATTGAAATCCTAACGGTGGAACAAATTATTAGAAAAAGAAATTATATAGAACAATAATTTTGTGAAGTTTATGAGAATTCTTTATAAATAAAAGTGGTAAACAGTTCAAATTCAACTGAATCAAAGCTCAATTTAAATTTTAACCTAGTTCAAGGTTAAGCTTATGCGTAAAGGTCGTAGTTTGGTCTAGTTAGAAACTTCAATTAAACTTGGATTGAGTTGAATTTGAGCTTTTTACATCTCTGAATAAAAATAATGAAACAAAATAAATATTTTTTTTATTATTTCTTTTTCAATTAAATAATTTGTTCACTGTTATTCAAAATTAAATAGCTTATGCGAAATATGAAAAATTCGCTTTTTAATTCTATCTATTCGCTCACGTTCTCAATATTACATAGTATTTCGTGGTATATTACAGTTATATATTATTATTTTACCTGTATTTAGGATTTTTCTGAACAAAAACTACACTTTTCGTCATTTGGGAAAGAACAAGCTAAAACAAACGAATATAAGGAATATAATTATTCAAAGCTCCGAATTTTAGATATGCAACTGAATTTTATAACGATAAAATTACAAACAAATGATCAGATAAAAAGGTTCAAAAATTTGTTCTTAAAATTTGTTGTTGGAGCTGTGTGGCAGCTACCCAAATCCGTCAAGCTATTCTAACAAAACTTAAGGGGTATTGTTTGTCCTTAAATTGGACAAACGACTGCCAATTTTCAAAGTTAGATTCAATCAACTGTGTTCAAAGTTGATTGAAATCAAAGTTAGATTCATACTTTATTATTTTTCCAAATATTTAAAACTTGCTTTTGGAGTTGTATGGCAGCTACCCGAACCAGTGGAGCAATTCTATTAAAATATTTAAAACATATGTTAACTGTAATTCGACACATTTTTATTAAATTTGATATTAATATCTTTATTAGCTTTTGAAATATTTAAAAAAACCTCTCTGAGTTATATGGCAGCTACCCGAATCCGTTGTTCGAATGGGTTCAATTACAATAGGAGCCGTCTTTGGCAGCAAATAAACAATTTGTGAAAGTTTGGTGTCGATTGCGTTATTCGTTTTGAGTTATCGTGCGGTCGGACGGACGGGTGGATATTGCTAAATCGACGCAGAATTTTACGCTGAGCGAAAATAAATGCGTTATGTCCATACCGGAGACGACTCCTTCAAGTGGTTACAAACTCTATACAAAAGTGAATATCACGAAGGTCACGGTATAAAAATATGATAAAAATTTCTTCGCACTTTTTAATACGTTTAAGATTTTTTTTGTAATTTTTTTAATATACTTAATAGCAAATTTTTTTTAACTTTTTATTTTGTTGACATAATGTTACTTGATTAGAAAAAACTACTTTTTAAATTTGCTATTATGTATATTAAAATAATTTGCTACCAATAGTAGTACATGTATTAAAATCAAAAATTTTTATAAAATTGTTTTTTTACCATATTTTTTTTAAATTTTTGGCTGCACACATAGTTCTTATATATTAAAGCAATGGAAAAATAAATTGGAAGAAATTTAAATGCAAAAAAGGTAATACAAAAATTCAAATTTGGGTTTTTTTCTTGAAATTTAAGGTAAAAAAATAAATAAAATACAAAGTTGGTTTTAAAAATTAAAAAGAAATTAAGAAATTTTCATTTAATAAATATGGTTGGTTGGTGCAGCAGGTACACCGCATTCCAATTAGCACAAATGTGCCGTATTGCTACCACTACCCCGTGATCAACAAGCTATTATTAATCGTACGATTTCAGGTGGCCTATCTATTTCAGGTGGAATTTATCTAAATTTCTGATGCTAATTTTTGATATCCCATTCTGCCCCGCCGCACGAGCTCTGCCCCTCGTGACCGGTCTGCCCCGTACACTGTTTATTTTTACTTTGTTGATGGAAACAAAAATCAGTTCCGCTAAGGAAATTTTCATGACTTAGTCAAAGCCAGCTCAACCGCCGTTCATTTCTCGCTATTTTATGATGGACCAAAAGGAGTGTGGCACTAATAAATATATTTTATGGAAAAAATAATTCATGCAATAATTATTTACATAGTTAGTGACATTTTCATATTTAACGTTTAAATAAAGAGTTGCCGTTTCATGTTTAACGTTTAGTTTAAACTAATTCTTTAATTTTTAACAGTAGATTCTATCTTTAACAGTAGAGTCTATTCTTGTTTCTTCTTGCTTTTTCAACAGAATAGAAAAGAACATGTTCAAACACGTATTATTACTTCACTTCTCTACAGGGCTGCCATTCCTATCAGAATTCGTAACTTTTTATTCTACATTTTGGTAAGTTTTTATTTTATTAATATTTTACTATACATAATATGTTCATAAGACTTTGATCAATTTAAGTATAAAAAGAAATTATAAAGAAAAATTTACATAATTTGTATGAAATAATTATTTCGTTTTGTTAATATTTTATAGAGTGAAGATTTGGCCAACAAAGAATTACATAAAGACAGTGCGATCTCGTTGAATGCAGTAAGTAAAACAATAGATTAGTGTGAATTATTTATAAAATATATCGTTATATTTGCGAAACTCAGTTAATTAATAAGGATGTATATGACAATATACTATTTACTTTAGCGAGATAGTATCTACTAGTTAACTAAAATATTAATTAAAATTTGTTAAAAAGGGCATAATTTTTAGTTATTTTATATCCGAAATTGAAAAAATTAATGAAACGTCATTGCAACAATTTCTCAATTTTCAAAAGAATTTTAAATTTGCAAAAATGTTGTTGCGCGCCTTTAAAAATATATTGCAAAAAACAGGTAGAAATCTATTGCGTACTCTTTCCCTTTCCCAAAAATTCCTGTGTATAAAAATTAAAGCAAGAACATATACTGCTTAACTCTTTTAGCTAAGGGAATTTTTTTGTACACAAATCAGTGTGTGATTGCATTAGCGTGATGTAAACGCAGAGCCGAATTACTTATAAAATAGATATACTTTGATATTGAATATAGAACGACTTACAACGGTAATACTTTTTTTTATTTTGAATTGGGTTGCATCAGTGTTGCTATATGATGGGCAATTTCCAATTTTGAGGGAATTTTGAAGCCTTGATGAAGAAATGGGAAAAAGACCAAACTTTGTGAGAAATTTCATTGAAAACTTTTCATTGTCATTAGTTTCTTTATTTTACTTATTTTAATTGTTTTTTATTTTTGACCAAATAAAATTTTGGCTCTTGATTAAAAATAAAAAGTTGTATTAATTATTTTGAAGCTCTTAAACTGAAATGGTGTTATTTATATCATTATTTTAAAAGTACCTGTTTAGGTTATCATAGTTGATTAAGTTATGCATGGAATAAGTAAATGCAACATTTTTGCTTTATTAGATGATTAAATACGTATTCTGTTTAACTACAATACAAAGATGAATGTGTATAATTAAAATATTTCTTAAAGGAAAATTATATGAAAGAGAAATGAGAATTTTTGAGGTAAGAGTAGTAAATATAGCAAGAAAGAGCTGGCAACTCTGAATATTCATGTTATGCTATGATATGATTTGCTAAAACAACAGTTTGTTTTCTGCTTTTAGCGGAGAGAGATCGGTGAAATTTATGTCGGATAATTACGATAGAGATTATTAAAGTGTTTTTTAAGAAAAAAAAAAAGAATAACAAAACGTGTATGTCATTTTATCGATACCGTTTGTTTTTTTTTTTGAATATTACAAATACAAGTGTTTTTTTTTTTTTAATTTAAAAAATTAAAAAAAGAACTAAGTTTAAATGTGTGGTTAATTCTTTTTTATTTTAATTAAATTTTAATTAATTAGGAAAAAAATTTTTACAAAAAAAGGAAAATTCCTTTTTCCATTTAGAAGAAGAAAAAAGCAAAAAAAAAGTGGGGTAAATTTTTGTTTTTTTTTTTTTTTTCCAAAAAGTGGTAAAAATTCAATAAAAAAAAATCCTGTTTTTTGTTATCATTTTCAGTATTTGATTTTATTTTCTTTGATTAAACTTTATTAAGCCAAACCCGCACAATACCAAAACGTTTAAGGCAATTTCAAAGGAGTTTTATTATTTTTCGTTTTTTTTGTTGAATCTTTTTGTTTTTGTATTGATTTTTATTTGTATAATGTCGTTGGTTATGTTCAAAACGCGCTAAGTTGAAAAAAAAAATTAAATTTTGTGAGTAGAATTTTTTAATACTGCATTCTGCTTATTTCGAAACCACATACGTGTAATGAAATTAATCTTAAATTATGGTAAAAACCAGGATTAAATTTTGGCAGGATTTTTATTTAAAAATAATATATATATATATATTATTTTCATATAAAATAATATGCGATTATGAGTTCTACATATGTATATATGTAGAAATTGTTGAATTTCCAAAATAAACAGAGGTTTTGGAAAAAAAAATCCTTGCAGTAAGATTTAAATTTTTCGAGGTAACCTACCTACCTACAAATAATTAAAGTACATATTATAAGTATTACGAGATATTAATTAATTTTTTTTTTAAATATTTGAGTTCAAAATTCAAATACATACCAAGTTACCTAAATATTAACAATAAAATTTTTAAACCATAAAAATTATTAATCGAAATCAAATCAAAAAAATTAAAACCAACAAGTTAGTGTCTAACTAAGTCAAAAATGAATATTGAGCGAAAAAAAAAGTTCCATGAGCTGCTAAAAAATTATTTAAACATTAATAAACTATCTATCTATCTATACTTAAATATTCATTTACTTAAAAAAATACAATTTTCCGGGTTATCGATTTATTTTAACAAATTTTACTAGAATTTATACATACCTATATTTTTTTTTGTAAAATTTGAATTTTTTCGTGTAACAAGTTTTTGTTGGTATCATTTTTATCGCTCGCACAAAACATCGATGAAGAATTTGTTTTTTTTTTTTTTTTGCATTTCCTAAAACTAATGGTATGCCCAAGACAAGCAAAAATTTTTAATTTTACCATCAATTTAAATAATTCTCATTAATAATTAGAGTTTTTTTTAATCGGGAGTAAAAACAAAAATATAGGTAGGTAGGTATCTACCTACACTCCATTTCAACGGTATGTACCTACACATATATTTTGTGGAATTTCAGAAGTCAATAATTTTGGTTCGGTTTTTGAATATTCACATGCAAAAGAGATTTTGTAAGAATGAAAAACTAGCATATGTAGATAGACAAATGTTGCTTTATTAAATTTTGACTGATTAAAAGTAAATTTTACAAATTTCTCACGATTGCCGTCGTGGGAATGATATAAATAGTCTTTAAGTTTACTGTAAATCTAATTAGACAGTCACATGTATCCACACAAACAAACATTTGAATTTCTGAAAATCCTTATTTTCCTCAATTTTTATTTTGCTTCCTTCCTTTCGGCGTGACTTAAAAACAAAAAATGAAAAAGATATAAACAAATGAGATTTTTTTATTAATTTTTTAGTTGTAAAAAAATAAATTCTCTATATGTGGATGTAGTACCTACTTATTTAAAAAAAAATTAAATTAAAATTTTTTCCTTATGTAAGAAGAAAAATATATATTTTAATAAAGTGGGTAGGTACCTTAATTTTGGTTAGGTAGGATCTTCTTAATTCTTAATTGTTAGCCGAAAATGTCATTTTATTTTTGGTTTTCGGACAAAATTTTTTTTTTCAATATTAAAACTTGTTATTATTGTTGTAAATGTAATTGGTTTTAAATTCGGTCTTTTATGCCAAAATTAAAAAAATATTAAATTTTAAGAAATATTATATGTTTCTAATATATGAAGGAGGCAACAGCATTTTAAGGTAATTGAGGACATACATACATAATAGATATATGTAGGTACATATCTCTCACCTTTTTTGTGATTAAGTATTATTCTATTGTTTTCAATTATAAATAAATGTTGGATAAATTTTCGGCTAAATCAAAGTGCTATTTTTCAATTAAATAACATATTATTTCTTTAATCTCGTATTTATCCAGAAAGAGAAAAAAAAAAGAAAAGAGGGAATTGCACAACATGAGTAAATAAAAAGGCTAGGGTACATTATAGAAGGTAAAAAGTTGTAAATAAAACTAAATTTCTGGGTAAATATTACACAAGCGATTCGCAATAAAAAGCGATTATAAAAATAATATTTTGATTCCAAAAGTTTTTGGAAATCAAAATGTAAAAATATGCAGGATGTCATTGGCACTGGTTTTTAAATTTTGGTTGGATTTCTTTTCTTTTTTCGCTTTCCTTCACTAGTTTTGAGACGTCAACGTTGATGTCTTTGAAAAGTACTCAATTTTTTAAATTAATTGAATATAATTATTGAGTTTACGTACTGCGTACTCTATAAGTTTTTTAACAATCATTTTACAAGTGATTGAAATATTATAGGCGTTTATTATATTTAATAGGCGTGTTCATTGGTTGCTAGAATTAAAATTTTTCAATAAGTATTTTTTAACTTTTGTTATTACATTTCACACCCTTTTTCCTATTTGAAACTCCTTTTTCTACGTCTGATTGAATTTTTATAGGCCAGAAAGTGTATTTCGCTTTACATTTAATTAACTTACATTGAGTAACTTGAAGATCTCATCAGTTTTAAATGATGTATCGTATTTGTTTCTGTCATATATTTGGAAGTGGTTTCAAAATTGCAGAAAATAATTGCGGTGTTATTAAACAGTTTAGCTTATGAATGTTGCAATTACTGAATTATGTAGCAATAAAGTAGAGTATTGTAATGTAGTTTTGAAGGCGTGATTATAGGTATATCAAAATAATTTTGGTTTGCAATTAATTTTGCTTGTTTTGAGCAGATTTTAGGTTATTACCATACATTATTGCAAACATGATATCTAATGCTTACTTGTTTTGTTCTTATAGTAAAAATTTTGATAGATTAGTAGATTTTACTTTTCTAATAAAATATAAGTAGTCATAATATAAATGTATAATCTCTTGGCGCCTGAGTTGATCTAAACTCTAAAAACAGGTTGCACCCAAACATTGAGATTCAATAAAAATTGTCGTTTTTGTTTTCAATTTACTTTGAAGATATTTTTTAAAATGTTTAAAATATTTGATTGAAAGTGTTAAACAATTGTACAAAAACAAAACGAGCAAAATTAACAACAATACTTTATTCTTTTATTCAATTTTATTTAAGTTTTGCTATTTTTTATTTTCTTTGAAATTTGTGGAAAATCATTGTTTTCAATATTTTCTTTTCTATTTTATTTTTAGTATATTGTTTATGAATTCTTGTTTGCAAATAAAATAGAAAATTAATACATACAAAAACATCAAAGCACAATACTTTTAGCAATAGAAAAATTGAAAAAAAAATAACCATTTTTTTTTTATTAAAAATTTTGAAAAAGGAAAAGCAATTCACAAAAGTAATAATAAAAACAAAAAAAAAATGTAAAAAATAAATATATAAATGTAAATAAATGAAAAAACAATTTAAAGAGTGGTGAATATTGTAAATCCACCTAATAGAAAAAATTTTACTTATTTTACAGTTATTTCGCATTGTTGCCAGGTACTTCTTATTTTATTTATATTTTTCTGTTCTAGATTTTACAAATATTTTATTATTTATTTATATCAATGTAAATTAAATGTAAAATGAAAAAAAGATGTGTGAGTCATTAGTACTCGTAAATTGAAATGACACAGAATAAGACCATTTGATGATTTCTGCCAATGTATTTACTATGATCCTTTTGGGGATTTTTGAGATCTTATTGCGTGATCGATTTTTAAAAAAGTGGCCAAAAGACGGTATCATTTCGAAAGTATACCGAATTGTCATATTTTTGTTAACTTCAAGGACATTCTCGAAATAGTTTTGGAGCCAGTAGGATTTTTTTGATAATGAAAAAGAGTTTTAATGAGGAATTCAATGGACCGCTATATTGCGGTGCGACCATTCTTTGAAGTATATATCGTTTTTTTTTTCATTTTAATTGCGCAAGTAAGTTCCATTTTAAAAGTCAAAGTAAAATTAAAGGTAAAAGAAATATATATATATATATATATAAAAGAAATAAAAGATATATATATATATATATATATATATATATCTAAATGCCAAGATGAATTTGTTTTTTCATTAAAACATTAATAGTTTGAAAAGCAAACAAATATGAACAAATTTTTTAATTAACGTTAATTTTTAATATTTGTATTATTATTTATTAAATATTAAATATTAATGTTAATTATATATACATTTATGTATGTATATACATATGTGTATTCACTTTAATGACTGTCTGAAAAGTGTTAATAAAACTGACACTATTTGACAATTATACATAGATAATATATATACTTCAGTATTTCAACTAAGTTAACAATATTCAATTTCAAAAATAATTTTTTGAAAATTCTCTCGTCCGTCCTTTTGTTATTGAAACAGTCATTTGAGAATGAGAAAGAAAGCTAGAGATTTAAAAATCAACAAAAATGAATACTTTCACTCTACGCAGAACGATATTGAAATATGCCCACTGAAACTGATACAATTACACAATTTCACTATTAAATAAGATTCATATGAAACAAAAATTTTGACATTGAAATTTTGATTAGAGTATAGCAGCATGAAGGAATGAAAAATGGGGATTTAGGGGAAGAGTAAGTGAGTGATAGTGAAGTGGAATGAAAAGAAAGAGTTCGTGGTTCTGTTTAACAATGAAAATTATATTTAATTTATTTTTTTCTCCCTTGTAATAATAAAAAAAATAAAAAATAATATTGAACAAACTTTGGAAAACAAAAACAAATTGGTTCCAATTGTCTAGTTGCGACAGATACGCAAATAACAAAAAAGAAGAAAAAATGGGATAAAAATTTTAAAAATTTTCATTTCATTC